AGCACAGTCCCCTCCTGCTCCTTCCTCCCCTGGCTAGGCGTGTTCAGAGGTTTATCCTCCTAGAAGGGATAAGGACGATAGCTCAAGGCCATTTACAGCACTGCCTCCATTGAATGTACAAAAGCCTGGCACATACTCGCCTTGCGTTGCAACACACTTTCTGCCACTGCTGTGTTGTATTTTTGAACAAGTACAGGCGGAGGTGCCATGGTCCTGCAGGCAAAACTCCCGTAACCTGAGATTTACCGTTACTACCTGTGTCCAAATTTGTAACCAGTTTACATAAATCCTGCGGGAAGACAAAGCGGTTTTTGGCAGGTACAAAAAAACCAGATGTCCAGGGAAGCTGTCAGTTCCCTGCACATCAGGGAATGCCTGCAGTCTCTATCCAGGGGTGGCACTACGGGACACGCAGTAAGGACATAAACCATCTGTGTTGACAGGAAATAAACTTAGTCCTGGTTAGTCCGAGTCTGATGTCTGGCATCTCCGTAGCCTCCATACCCAGAGAGACCTATTATCTGTTGTTTCCCTTCATCATCAAAATGCCTCTGACCTGCTGATCTAGCACTGCCGATGCTCCACACTAATCTTTTCTCATCAGCCAGCCGCCTACAGCAGCCACCTGCACCACAGTACCTGCCTTCCCCTGTCTTTAGCAAGTCTGTGCTTTCTGGGGATGTTCAGCCCTTACTCCTGGGATCATTTAAATCAGCTTTACCTACAGCTAGAGATAAAGCCACAGACAAAAATCTGGGCTAGGTCAAATTTCTCCAAACAGTTGCAGAGTTGAGAGGCCATCATCACTGAAGGTAAATATGATCAAATGGTTTCCCTCTCGCAGCAGCGTTGAGGTCTGCGGCCCTGAGCCAGGAAAGGCCACCTCACACCATGGGGAGAGAGACGTTTCAGCTGGTCTGGGACTGAAAAGGCATCAGCATCCCTGCAGGCTGCCAGAGCACTAGTGGTAGTACCAAACATGAAATGGCACCTCGAGTAAAAGGCTTTTTTGAAGCACACAAAGGAAACAAGCAGTGAATAGCAGGGGATAGAAGAGCCCTGAATATGCTGCCGTTATTATTCTTCCGACACTGGCCACCGAGATCTGTGCAAGTGCCTGCACCCGAGGGCTCCGGAGCCCTTTGCTCTGCTGCGTACAGGGCTGCCCAATTCTGCAAGCCGTTGGTTTATTACCTTCATAAAACAAGTACAACATTGATCTGATGTGCTTATAATCTCACTCTTAGTCATAAAAATGCAGGAAGTATGCTCAGCAAAGGAATAAAGTTGAACCCTACAGTTAGATACTGCAGCTGCTTCTAAACACGGGCCGGCCTGTGGAACAACACACAGCCACACTAAGCAGGGCCAGGTTACCCAGCCGGGAGCATTTTCTGTCTCTAAGAGCATGAATTAGAGACCACATTTTACTATCAACATCTGGAATTTCAAATGCCCCTGCAATAGATAGCATCTGGATTGAATTCTCCTTCTATTTTTTACAGGGCCTTCTTATTTAATAAATAATAATAGTTTATTACTGCACTGTAAAATTTCATAATCCTTTTCTCAGCAAGAATGAAAAAGATTCAGAAAAAAACAGGAAGTGTTTTAAACAGGATGATGCCAAGAACTAACGAAGAGGGAGCATTTCCTCAAGAGAGGTGGGTCAACTCATTTTTGCATTTGTGGCACTCGGCTCCATGTACATTTGCAGATGTGCCAACAAGTGCACCAACAATTCCTAATAAAATCTCGGCTCACATCAGTTCAGAACAGCAGAATGCACTCCACGCCTGCTCCACTGCAGGACCAGTACAGGCTGCGTTGCCTCCGAATGTGTCTCTCACATACACATGCTGAAGAGGGACTCACAAGCAAGTTTTGAAACATTGGACATTTTTTATTTATTTCTCGATTTGTAATAATTTCAGACCCATGCTGACAGTTATTAACAGAGCTCCCATCAACTGAGACAGCAAAAGTTTTGGAGGTAAAATGGAAGACTGACTTAACCAGTAAAATGATGTCTTTTCTCCCAGGCCTTAGTCTCCTGCTTAACCCAAAATCTTTGCTCTCTGGAGATGTGCCCCATCCCTTACCAGGCACAGGCACATCTGTGTCTTGCTCAACAGCTGGTAGTACTGCTGTGAGAAGGAGCAGGTAGAGCAGTGCTGTGGCTTATGAGAGCCCTAGACCTCAGAGAGACCTTGGCTCTCCTCTTCTTTACGTGCCAGCCCCAAGGCAGCTGGACACCGGGAACACTGGGGTGGAGCCACGCGAGGACTGAGAGATCCTGTGAGCTGAGAGATCCCCAGGGTTCGCAGCTTTATTGCTTCGCTCAAGGTCAGTGTTCCAGGGCTGGGAACTCTGTCATCCCCTTGCAAGAGGAAAGAGGTTTTGGGAGAAGAAGTAGTCTCTACAAACCACAGCAAGGGCATGAAGGGCACAGAAGGTGAGCCTGTGACCCACAGACTTCACCACAGTGTGATGGGTGAAAGCAGTGCTGCTCCGTGAGGGACAACATGGGCATTGGTTTCTTTTTGGCGCTTGGGCAAGAGAAGACACCCATGCACATCCCTTTCTTCCCCTACAGCTTTGGCTCCAGAAAGGCAGGACCCTCATGCCCACTAGCACTCTACGAGTCCCATTATGATTTGAAGTGAGACAGTTTTCAGGTAATGCCTGCCAAGGCAGCCAGGGAATTTGCATCCATGGAGAGGCGGACAAATGCCAGCAGAGCAGTGTCTGAGCAGCCAGCTGGGGATGCTCCACAGCCTGGCTTGGCCCCACATGCCCTGTCCTGCAGGCAGCAAGCCCAGGAAACCCCCTCCCTGCCTACAAGGCTTTCGGGCAAGTCCCGCACAGCTGTGGCACATGGCCTGGCAGCGTGTCCTACCTCTGTGAGCCTTGCTGAGCTCTGGGGACGCCTCCTCGTCCGGTACAGCAGCCTCAGTGCCTGGGTTTGTGGGAAGCAGGTCAGGCCCTCCAGTCTGCTCTGATACTGACCCAGTAGAGATGGAGCATCGCCCAGGCCAGCGTGTCTGCACTTGAGTTCATTCCTCCTTGGGATGCCTGGGAACTCCTCTCCTGCATATCATCTTCTAAGTGGAAGCTTCAGCAGACTGAGAAGGAGCAGCTGCAGTAAGCAAATATAATGAAACTGAATGTCCCAAATGTCTTGCTTCCCTTTAATTTTTGTTCACCAAGTGATGGTTTCCAATAATTCTTTAAATAAACATGTCACTGATTAGCTAACTTCTGAACCTTGGAACAGTATCTTCTGATCATCTATGATTTCACAACTTCCAGATGAGACAAAAACTCTCAGGAATGCTGAAGGCAAGAGATCAGCTTCATATGCACAAGTCACAGAATTAGGAACAAGGATTACACAAGGAGGATTCAACCAAGACATGTTTCCCAATTCTGGCCGATGGTGTGTCTGTAAGACTTTGCTGCCACTGGACATCAAGCTCCTGCAGTAATTCTGTGGAAGTACTTCATTAATTAACGCAGACATACACTAAACAACTCACTGACAGCTTTTGCAGAAAGGCTTGCTCCTAGTATCTCTCATTTGTGACCTCAGAAAATACTCGCTGAGGACTGTGCTGAAGCCCAGGCTCAGTAATTGTGCCCATAATTAGTGTCTGCTTTTTTTTTTTTTTAATCCTGTGGGCACAGCTTGCCGTAGAGACGTCAGAAATTTTCAATTAGTTCCCCTGCTCTCTGAATTAGCTGAAAGGGTACTGTCATTTTTCAGGGGTTTTGTGGAGGCCACGGCACTTGTTATACTGAACAGAAACATTCCATCTCCCAAGGAGGTTCACCTTCACCTTATGTTTTTGTTCATTTAAAATGTTTTTAGATAATGTTATTAGATCCAGAGGCCATTTAGCTGAAGCACACGAATTTTCCCACTGTCTAAAGAATATTCAAACTGAACTATCTCTTTGCAAATCTCTTGTCCTGTTGCCCACAACACACTCTGCTGGGCTCCCAAAGGCTCTGGAAAACATACCGTGCTCTTTCAAGCCCATCACCGCAGTTCTGAAGCTGCTCAGCAATGCAATGCTCTACACGCAAAGGTAAAAGACCTCAGCAGAGGGGTGCTGCTCACGCAGCCCTTGTCTTGCTGCTCAACGCCTCGGATCCACGAGTCCAGGCCTGTCCCGTGTAGTCCCCAAGTGGGAGGACAAAGCAGCTTCACAGAGCATTATGTGGAGACAAATAGGAGGAGGCAGCAAAACTCTGCGCTGACCAAGGGGCAGGTCATCACCCCAGTACAGTGTTTGGCCCGGAGGCCCAGGTTAACGTGCCAGCTCCCGTACAGCCCCGCGGCCCCCTCCCTGAGCCCCGGCCAAGAGCAGCCCAGCAGGGCCCGGTGCCGGCAGGGCCGGGGACAGCAGGGGCTCGGGGCCGCGGGGTGCAGGGGGCAGCAATGGGGCCGTTTCCCCAGCTGGCTGCCCCCCCAGCCCCATCTCATGACGACGGACCTCAAACCGGGGAGAAGAAAGAAGGCACAAAATTCTGGCTTGAGATTGTCCACAATTTCCCCGGCTGCTTGCCTGTTTTTTCTAAGGTGTTCAGGTTTTCCTTAAACTGAATGACCTTCGACCTGGCTTACGCCTCGCAGAAGCCGGACTACCCGAGGTCAACGGTTAGCGGGCCTGGAAACGAGATCAGGTCTTTATCAGCACAACCAGGGCGGAATCAAGCCGGCGTGAAGGCCGCTCTGTGCCGCCGGTTCCAATTCCTACGAAAACATCGTGAAATTAACACCGGGGCCAGTAAAGGCCGAGGGAGCGGGTGTTCTCTCACAGG